CACGCGAGGTGAAAGAGGTCTCGTTGAATTTAAACAAGAAAATACCTCTTTGCCAGATAATAGTTAGCGTAGCTGGGAAACTATGCAAACGATGAGACAGGTCAGCTTGTTTACTTGCCTCGCGTACAAGAGCATTTACCGGATATCGGGATGCAAATACACACGCGCGTCCACGTACGCGGCGCACACGCGCGCGCAGCCGCACACGTACACATTGTTTTCTTTCGACGTTTTCAATTCGCTGAATCCCCGAGCCTTTCTCCCTACCCTTATTCGCGAGTAAAATATTACGGGGTCGGCAGTCGATATTCCGCCGCAATTTCTCCGGCCGAGGCGAGTTTCTTTGACCGACTTGCGATGCGAGTAGCTCCTCAGGAACGATTCAGTCGTTCGTCTACGAAGCATTGACCACATTTCCCTTTGCAAGCATTGTTGCGCGGACCTTGGCTCTTAAATGGCGCCGTAAATCGCGCAACCATTTCTATCGTGAATACTTGATTGTCCCTGGGAAACTTGACTGTTTTCGCCTGGAGCCGTGCACAATGCCGGTGAATCATTACCCGACGGATCATTTTGCGAATCCTGCTGCACTTCGCCGGACGAATTTTCGATGTCTCCCGAGGAGGCGTAAACACGGATTTATCCGATTAACTCGAGTATCCTTTTGTACGAAAGTTTCTTCCCGAGGTATGCTTATCATTTTCTAGTGGAACGTTGATTGAAGTTTGATTGTGTTCACCCTTTCGTCCCGAATGATATACGCAAGTAACACGAACAGTATGAATAACTGGAAGTCTAGAAAATACTTTAAAGATAAAGAAAGTTGAAAGATATATTAAGTTATAATAATATAAAAATTAGAGTTAGATATATTGGACTGAAAATGTTCATGGAAAATCCAATTTTTATGGACATTCTTAGAAAAAAATACGTAATTTAATGAAAATTGGTTTCCAATGCATCGTTGATTCAATGAAGTTAAAGAAATCACACACGATTCTGGGTTTTTTAATCTAGTAAATAATGTAATAAGATTCGAAGTTGCATCAAGAGGGACATTAATAGAAAGATCCAATTTTGATTAAAAATAGGAAATCGAATGTCAATCATATCGAGAGAAAAATTTCAAAAATTGAATAAAGCTATAAATGTTTTTTAAAGTTCCACGAAACAATCGTTTATTGTATTATTATCTGTAAAATGAAACCACGATACTGAGTCTATCAATCCGACGTTTTATTCATCAAAATTCAATTTAAAAATTATCCTTTTGTCTGAATATGTAAGTCTTCTTTTTAATTCAGTGAAGTTTATAATAGTGGAATTGCGCTCGAGTTTAAATATACCTTTCGCATGATTGAATTATCGGAACGTAAATATAGCCATGCTGATACTCGTTATTTTATTAATTATTAATGAATTTTTCTGAAAATTAATTACTTTATGTATTCATTCAAAGTTACGTTCATATTTCCAGGTAGTAATTACAATGGTGAATTTTTCAAAGGAAATTAAATATTTCAGCAGCAGAGATGTTTTAACGCAATTCCAAAAATGTGTGTAATTAAGATACGTTGGAACGGAAAGATTTGTAACGTGTAACGTGAGTTATGCCCTCTATATCGGTCCCTTCTGGCTATGGTAAAAACCGTTTTAATCCCTTAAAATCTATGGTCGACTCCTTTTTTAAAGATCGCACCATTCCAGATATTAAAATGTCTCGTATATTGCATTCATGTATCACATATTCCTTTTAAGCTTCTCCCCTTGCCCTTTTCTATTATTTTTTAACTATTAGGAATCGAATTGTTATTAAGAAAATATTATTAAATTACTATTTAATTTTCAATTCGTTACAGTACTAAAAGATATTCACCTTATTTTTAGATTATCCAATCCAGTCTTGCTAATTTTATGATACGTATTTCTTTTTTGAAACGTTAACGTATTTACAAGGGAACTTGCTACCAGAATGAAAATTGACCACACAATAATATTGCGAAACCTTCCTGAAATTGGCAAGGTAAAATATTATATTAAAAAAAAAATTAATTAAATTTTCAAAAATAATTTCACAAAGGTTTCCTCTGACAACTTCAAGTGGGGGAAATAATTTTTGAAATATTATATCTTTTTCACTTTGCCAATTTCAGAGAGGTTCCGCAATATTGTTGTATGATCAATTTTTATTCTGGATTCGTTTCCACCAATGCTTTCGCAGCATCATTTTTCACAGACGTTCTGGGTCTTCCACGCGGTTCATTTTGTAGGGAAAAATCACCAGATTGAAAATTTTTAAATCAACGCTGCACTTTTCGATCGTTAACAGTATTCTCCCCAAACGCCTGGTTTATATTGCGTACAGCTATTGCAGCATTATTACCAAGTTTATATTCATATGAAAAAATTACACGAATATCGGTTGAAAGAATATAGAGAATTATTGTCGTTATATAAACAATCACTGTGTAACGGCCGTTAACCTACAGCCAAACAGCTGCCAATAGAAAATCAAATAAATACAAAAAGCCGTGTGAACTCGCGACGCAAGGGCATAAACGTACGTTAGAATAGGCACGTCACCAGGTCATTAACCTGTCAGTAAAACGAAATAATTTTTCAAATACATTACTCCGAGAAGGTTCGACCAAGTGCGCTACTCCTTTCTGCAACTCCCGGACCAGAGCGCCGACGTTCCACTTTAAAATAAACTGTGATATCTAGAACCCGAATATCATTCCTTCAGCTGCAAGAAACTAACAGTCGATTTCGATTACTACCGTGTTTTCCCGACAATTACCGGACATCCCTTCGACTGCACTCTCCGTTCGGTCTTCCGGAGCCGACAGTCCTCGAAACCGGACCGCGCCGGTCGCAACGGCACGCGTCAAAGTGTCGTTAACTCGGTATATCGCGAGCCGGCTCGTCCGCACGGCCATTAATTACACCGCCTAATTCCGCGAATTGGTCATTAAGGATCAGCTGTTCCGCACTTAATGTCAAGCTAACCGCCGCGGCGCAGTTCACTTCGCCCCTGATCCAACGGATAGTCAGTGCTCCTTCGTGCGACGCGGGACACTGTAATTGGTTTGTTGGAGCTTAACTAACTACCGGATAAAGTCGAACGAACCCCGCCGTCCCGGCCCGTTTAAGCGCGGATTATCCAGAACGAGGTGAACAATATTTACTGCTAATTGCCCGGGCTTTAGCCGTCCGATTTATTCCCGCGATAAGAAAATTTGGCGAAAGCGCCCGCTGACCCGCCGGGATTTCTTTTTATCGGCTTTTGACGGGCTCCTCTTTATGGCGGTTCGATTGTATCCCCCCCGGCAGGCCCTTGATTTATAAATCAGCGGCCGAACGATCGACGGGAATCGTCGGCCCCGTGTCCCGCGCCCGCGGATTTTAACGGGCGAAATTTCGGAACGGGTAAACAGAAATATCACACGTTAGGGATGCGTTACGCGGTCGACGCCGTTTAAACGGCTCAATCGGACTGCGACCGATAACTGGGAATTATTAAAACCGTATTGTGCTTCGGTACACCGATACGTGATTCATTGTTTGCTTTAAAAAATTGGTAATTCGGTTTCGTTGGATTTCGTATGTTTTTGTGCCGCGTTTTCTGCTTTGAAGGGTGTATTGAACACGAATAATGGTATTAGGAGAGTGATACTTTAATTTCTTGAATGAAGCTTGGAATATCGAAGTTGTCATAGGAATTTGAAATTATTCAGAATTTATCGAAGTTTGCTGTGCTTTAAAGTGAACAGTGACAATTGAATTTGCACGTTAGACAGAGTGTCATGTCGATCAACGAAAGGATCGAACAAGTAAAAAATTTAACTACTTAAAATTTTTCGTAAGGAATTGCAAAATCATATACACAGCACAATTACCACGAAATCGCAGATTTTATGCATCGACATACTTCGCGATAAAATTGCAATAAAGAGAAACATTAATGCATACTCGATTTCGTTTCCTGCACTAAATATACTCGTACCGAACAGAAGACTTTACGGGGGTTTTAATATTGCACTTCCAATCTTCGAATTCCCGTTAAAATGCAGTAACGTCGAATTTCAGCCTGATATGACTTAGCGCCGCACTCCGCGAATCTAGTTGGCCGAATTCTAATAAATAGACGCGTCTGTACGTATGCAGGAGTTAACCCTCGCAGCAATTCCGGGTCTCCCTCTATCTCGGGACGTTTACATATTTCCCGCGTCGTTCGAGAGATTTAATCTCGCAAATGAGATCCAAATGCAGGTGCACCCACGGGCGGCGCATTAAGCAGGAATATCTTGCCAGCTTAAGCACACCTTCTGCCAAGAAAAAATTAGCTCAGTCGGACGTGCCGGGACACAGGAAACGAAACTGCCGCTGATCTAGCAATTAACTCACCTGGAGGACTGCCAACTATTTATATTGTGCTATTATCATACGTTTCGTTCCGAGGCCGGGGCACAAACAACTATGGTTATCTGTGCAGTTTAGATTGTGCTCGGATGAAAATACTCGGACTTAGTCCTTGCTGTAATGCTCTCTGTTCGCGCGGTTTTTTTTCCTTGAGGCGAGATTATGAGTGAAGTTTAAGCTTCACTGAAGGTGGAAGAAGTTTAATATTTTTAAAAGCGTGTAATCGTTCGTTCTAACGTTTTAAAAAGCATTCCGTGTGTAGCGAGGTTTGATTGAATGTACAATGTAATGTATTGCAAATTATTTACAGGGTCTTAAGGAAGTATTATTAACAGTAAATAACGTATACAAATGTTGGCAGTCACTGTTGTGACCACCTTAAAATAAAGTATAAAGTTCAAGTATAAAAAGAAAAGAGTGCAATAAAAACTGCCAAACTACTTGTTACGATGATTGTATATTTGTTAATTAGGAATATCTTAGGAAAGCACTATAGAATTTATACAAAAACCAAATTTTATTCAGAACAACAGAATCAATTTTTACGTGGCGATAGGTAGGCGTAAACTATTTTTTGACCAGAATGCTACTTATCATTACTTTTGTAATATACATACTAGAGGAGGAAGATATGATATAAATGCTGATATCGTTGTCACTCTGGATGTGGACTAGCACTGGTATGTCTGAAAAAAGATAGCAAGTAATATAATTATAATAAAATATTCTAAATGCGATGTGATTTGAAAAATCTTACTTTCCTATTAATTTTATCTTTTACGTCAAATTTATAATACACTCGTAATTATCCTGCCGTTGCACGCAGAGTGTATAATTTCCAAACTTTCCGTTTACAAAGCACAGTATATCTACTTCCAGAAAAATTACTAACAGGAACAGGTATCGAACTCGGAAATTCAAAAAATGATGAAACTTTGTGTATGTCAAGCCAATATTCTCTTCGTGCCGAATTTCACTTTGAAGGGGTGAAAGCACCCTTTGAAAAAAATGCAAATTTTTCTTCCCGTTGATTATCTCGAAAGATTATCTCGAAGAGATAGCGAAGCAAAGTTTAAACGAAAAATATATTCCTCTTTCACGTTAATTAATTTTTTGAATTCCCAGGTTCGATGACTTCCGTTGTAAGTCGAACAATACCCAACCTTTCCTTTCACGCGTAATTGAACCAAGTTCAACGAAGGTCCCAGCAATTTATGCGGACCAATTTGAGCAGTTTTATCTTCCCATCTACAAACCTGATATTATTCAAAGCGGAGTCGCCAGTCGTTTGAGTTTCGAAACCTTGAAACGATTCGTCGGACGGTCGCCTGAAAAGTTGAGGGTCCCTGATAAGCCTGACGTTCACGGTGCTCTTCCACCACCTGTACCAGGGCGACACCTGCTCCTGACGAAAAGAAAAATGAGCCGAACGCGGCGGAGGAAAAAAAATGGAAGGCGGAGAGGATAAAATCTGTACAAGCGGAGCGGTTCCCTCGCGGCGATTTAAATTATCCGGATAGTTTCGGTTGTCAGGGGCAAAAGACACTCCGGCCCGATAAATTAGAGCCGAGTGTCTTCGAAGTGGCTAGGCTTTCGGGCGGGCCTGATCGGAAAGGGGCGAAACTGATTCCGGACTGTCACGTATTCGCGATAATTCTTAATTAAATGTTCGCCGGCTGGATTTCGATTCGACCGCCTGACGGGAATTGAATTTATGCAGCCGGGAACGAGACTTTGCTTGAAATTCTTGCCTCGTTTCTGTTGAGATATTTCGTCCGCCGGTGTGGCCCGCGTTCTTTAACAATCAATTAATCCCCGGCTACCTCTAACATTTTATTTTAATTGCTCTCCCGTGACGTATCCCTTTTAACGATCGCCGATACCACCGATACCGAACGTACCGTACTCATTCCGAGGGAAGAAGTATTACTGAAATAGGAAGAAATATTGGTCCTTAACGATCGATAACTTTTTACCCACTTCACCTATTATATAATACAATATTGGTAAAATTTAGAGGAAACATTGACAGGCTTTTTTACCTTTGCACGCGAAAGGTTTTTACCAGAAATATTTAACATTTTCTGATAAGATATAGAGAATATTTTTTTAAACCGGATTGATGAGAAGTTATACGTAAATTAAGGAACAAAGCTATTTTATTTAAATATTTCACGTATTGATGCATTATACAAAGTTTACTATTAAATATTCACTTTCATGATATTCCTGTATCAAACCAAGTGGCAATTATGGAACTTGTCTATCGACTGCAGAGGGTTGATATAATAAAATAAAAAATGTATGTTGAATTATTATAAGTATGATAAATAGAAATAAAGAAAAAAGGGAACAATATAATATGTTAAAAAAATGAAAGTACAATTGGATAGAAAATGTCCAAAGAACACAGGACAGTTAAAATCTCGAAAGCCTTTAGAATACCTCCTCCGCTTCTCTTAGATCAGGCTGTTATTTTTTTATCCTTTACACCGCTTTCCGTAAAGCCATGCGATCCCCTATAACAATTTTGTAACAGAATTTTCTTTGAAAACTCTGGGCACTCGGTAAAATTCTACCAAGAAAATATGGTTAGAACCTAAGTTGGAGCTTCCGGAATCAAAGCCACTTCGCCTCTCTAAGATTCTCTCGCGGTAACTTGTTGAATATGCATCCCGCAATGTAGTTGACGCGAGGTATCTAATATCTCTTTTATTATATCGATGGGAGATCTCCAACAAAACGAGAAAAACACGAAAACACGAAGCGGAAAGAATGGATTACCGAGGTTATTTCGACGCGAGTTGATTAAATAGAAGCAAGTTTTCTAAACGCTGATTGACGTTACTATGCAGGCGCATAAAGGCATCTTGCCATGCCTCTATTAAGTACCCTTCAACGTTGATCTTCTGAACTTTGTTCCGATAGTTTCTACATCAATATTCTTCTTGAGTCTTTCATCATTCTTTCAGGCATCCTCCTAAAGATGCTTTATAAAATTTCGTAATTTATCTCCTCCGGCCTTCGTCGACTTACTCTCATTTAAATCGAGCCATTCCAGTTAAAAAAAATTGCCGGCGTTACGTTTTCTACTTAATAATTTCACCGTAGAAGATATTTCACGCTAAATCCGTAAAATATGTAACATTTATTCTGAAGATGCCAAATTTTAGACGTCAGATGATCAAGTGATTCAAAGTAGAAATACGTACGTAGCGATCATGTTTGGATTTTTTAATTTTGATAACTAATCAACCACCCCTTGAAAAAAACTGCAAATTTTTCTTTCCCGTGGATTATCTCGAAAATGTTAAAAGATAGCAAGGTACAAATTAAAAAGTGCATTGTTCTTTCACGTTTACAAAATTGCAATATACAGTTTCTCAAAAAGTTATATTATATTCAACATTCTGAAAAACTTTATTGTGCAATTTTATAGATATGAAAGGACAATGCATCTTTTGTTTACACTTTCTCGCATGTTTTCATTCTTTTGGAGTAGTTTCACCCCTTTCCACCCCTTTTCGACACAGGGCTGCCACGGTCCCTTCTCGTAATACCGTAAGGACTGCAAGTTGCGACGGGACGAAGGCTCCTGTTACGAAAAAACTACCAAATGTACAGCTCAGTCTTAGAAAAGATAACAGGTGTGTACAAAACTAAAACCACGGTGGTGTAAGGTAAGGCTGTAAGTGGCCTTAACACCCGGCGTTATTCGTCGGCGTTCCATTTAGGACACGTCCCGACGGAACGTTGAACGCTATCAGGCCACACGGCCGCGCCTTTCCTGTTATTTCTTTAGCCGAAAAGAATGCGTCGCGTCGTCGCGATACACCTTTGTTCCGGTTCACCGAGCTGACGCAGAGTTCGCGCGGCCAACCGTGTTAACCCACCTGTCCCACCTTCACGCTAAGCATTAACGTGTCCGCTCCGGGGCAGGAATCTGTTATCTGGGTCGCAGGAGGGAGAATCGTGTCGCATAAACATAAACCACGAAAGACAGTCGCGAACCAACCACAATATAAAGCTGCTGACCTAGACCTGCCCTCGAGCTATTCGCTGTATGCGCAGGCTGCGATGAAATTCCATATGGTGTTCTTATTCGAACGTTACTCCGCGATATCTATTCGATGCGCACAAGTCTCGCGGCGAGAAATAATATACATCTGATTTACGTGGTAAATTATAACCTATGCATCAATTTTTTTGAAATTTTAAAATGTTACGCGCTTAATTTATTGTATTTTATAGTATTCTACAAGATAATTGCAATGGTTTGTATAAATTTCAAGTATAGTTTCGTAACTGTCTGCTGAGTTTCAATTAAGTTTTAAATAATAAAGATTGGAGCACTATGCGGTAGTTTTTATGCTTGATCTTAATTTACGCGATATGAACTTTGTAACATTGAATAAGATGTACTTTTGTTTTCGGAAATGTTATTATTTATCTTGCTTGGCTATGTGGAGTGAATATGAATAGAAACAATAATATATATATTAATAGTAATTATATCAGGAATAGATTACATTTAATTAGATAATTAGGTCGGTAGAAATTCAGATAAATAATTCAACGGAAATATTGGATTTATTGAACTCATAAACTCGGAGAGTATCGATTGAAACTAATTGTTAAACTTTAATTAATTATCGGATATGGAAGTACCTTTTGTTTCGGCATTGACTAGCTCATAATTTAAATAATGTAGAAGAACAATGAAAGTTGAAAGCATAGTAAACTCGTATTTCCAAACTTTTACACGCTACGAATATTTTAGACATTTCAATTACAAATCAAAGGATTCGAATAATTTTTCCGTATAACATTCGTTTAATGATAATTCGTACCGATAATTACGAAAAACACACTACCGTTGCAGCTGTTTAATATCGTTCAGGTACTTAATATTGATTTGTACCTTACCAGCGCATCTGCTTCACCTTCATTAATTCGCGTAATCTTTGTTGATCTACATTTCAAATAATTTTCATTTCAACGCATTCTGTGTTGCCAAAAATTACAAATAGTAATGCAATTAATATTATACAATATTCTTAAACTACTCAAAGAAGTAATACTGATATTTCACTTATTTTTGCACTGTATTTATACACTATTCAACTCGCACATTTTTCCATACTAAAACACGTACTGTCTCTATATTTAAATAAAAACGACGAATAAATTCTTTTAACGGTACAACAATAAATCAGAGAATCCGTAAAGAAATAATTTCAAAAAATGATTAAGCACGATTTTATTTTATTCAGTGAAATGTATTCTTCATTAGTCAAATTTCTTTCAACGTTAAAGTCCGATGTACCACGAATAACGTTATTTTCGCCGGTTTATGTAAACCAGCTCGACCGAAGTATTACACAGGGGTAAATTTAAAACTTTCGGTATAATTTCCGCGGGAGATGTAAGCTGAATTTTATTTTACCCGGAAGGAGATGGACTATTACGGTACGGGGACCGGGAAAATAAAAGGAACCGGCGAAACATTATGATATTACAGCTTCCTAATTTTTGAAAAGGCAGGTGAAACGAGTTTCATTATTCTCAGGGCGCCGCGACGCGAGCCGCGGCGCGAAATGTCTGCATATTTAAATGAAGCGCCGTCAGGGCTTGATGAAAACAAAGGTGGCAAGTTTCAAGTTTCCACCTGACCACCTCCCGGATGTACCAGATGGATTTAAAGTTTCCAAAAAAACAAAAGCCGGACAGGAGAAGGGAGAAAAAAAGCGGAACCGCGATGTCATTAAGAGGAATTCACTCGCGGGAGGGATACGTCTTGAATGCGCTCGCGGAAGGAAAAAATAGAAAGAGTCTATTTCGTGGCTGACATAAAAAAGACTCGGAAGTTTGGATTACGCGAGGTCGTTTAAGAAACTTGTTACGGACAGTATTACTTTCTATTGAGGTTCGTGGACTTAAGTAGCTCGAGAACCTACGGTGAAAAATGTCGAGTGAAATTATTCCTTTCCATGATATTTTCCTATGGAGTAATCGGTCAAGTTTAAATTTTAAATTAGTCATTGCTAGGTTACAAGTATATTGTCGTTCAAATTTTTGATATACTGGGGTTCACGGGTTGTTAAGGAGGAAACAAAGTTATTAATATGGCGTCAGACTCGTGAGAATTTCGAGCAGAATTTATTATAATTAAGTATATGTATCGCTTAATTATTCCAAGTATGAATTGAATATTATGTTTCTATTATTAATTGGAATGCTTCTGAGTATACGTTAACGATCGATAATAGAAAAGTAATATTTAATTAATATTTAGAGAAAATGAATAACACTTAGTCCTCTCAAATTCAGTTTAAAATTCTCGTCACGAGTTCGAGACGATATTGTAAGTCGAGAGATTAAACCTGCTTCGAGCTGCTGGCAATATCAATGAGAAAAAGCGTCGAGCGCAAAGGATGAAACTTTCGCAACCTCCGAACGTTTGCATTATTGTTATGTATTGCCTACTGAATATATTTTCCTCTTATAAAAGGCTCGCATTATTGTTTCGCGCAAATTCAACAATGAACGATTTATCAAAATTTGGAACTATCACTGTACCTAAAGAAAAGTATCCTCGTACAAAATATAAATTCGAAACTAAAAATCCCGTTACACCTATATCGTAACATTATCGTTGCTCGAGAATTTAACCGCGGAAATATCCAATTTCGCGTAGAAAGGTAACCGTTGATGAAGTTCTACCGGACCCATTCGCGCACAATTCCAAGCAAACACGCGTCGCGAGTATCTCTCGCAGAAAGTAACATCCAATTTCGGGAAATTATTTTGCAAACGAACACCGTCGCTCCACCGGAAAGCGGTTAAAGAATGCGGAACTTGCAAAGCCGGAATTTCGTGTGTTACGTGCTGATATTACACCACGGAACAAACGGCGGACTTATAATCAGATTTATGCTTTACTTGCGAAGCTAATCTCTGCGTGCCAGCGGCAGTCAGCCAGTTAATTGCAAGAACACGATCCGTCTCTTGGGGGCAGCAACAAACCGGAGTTAAATATGTTTCGTTACAATGCGATTCCTGTTCGGTACTTACACAATCCTGCGTGGTCAGCTGTTGGGTGAATATACCGTGAACGCGGAACGACAGTAAAATAGGGGACGTAATTTAGAGCGGAATGAATTCCATGGAAGAACAATGGTGCCGGTATTTATTGCCGAAAATTCAACGAAATTGAACGATGCATGTATGATATGTATATGTGTATGTAATTTTATAGATTAGTTGATTGGAAAGTAAATTAATTATATATTCGATCAATATCTGTTTTAGAATTATCTGAAGAAGTATGATCGTAGTCTTCTTTAATTAAGGAACTATTTTCAATGAATTACTGGAGATGTTTTTAGATTACATGATAGAGAAGTAAATTAATTTGACTATTTAAGTATTTTAGGATAATCTAAGAAAGAATTATTGTAGACTTTTTCAATTAAGAAACTTCCATTTTCATTGAATTATTGATTCATTGAATTACTGGAGATATTTCTGGGTATTTGTCGGTGAACCATTTATTTGAGAATATTATAGTTATTTATGCATTGTTTCGAATGTCTTATCACTTCGACTGTAGTCATGAATATTGTTTTTCTAACGTGAATAATAATAATTTTATGTAAATAATGTTGCTGTAATTTTTTTACAAAGATTATTGCGACGTGACAGTTCGGATTTATTAAGAATCTTTGTGAAGTTTGTAACGTTGAATAATTATCAAGGCAAGTAGGTTAAACGGAAAATGATATCTCGAATATTTGATTAATAGCGATAACATTTGTCTTTTAACATTAATCTTAATCATATTTTTATATGGTTATTACATCAATTAGTATATTTCAAAGTTTACTTATTAAAATTCTGTATAATTCAAACGAAATGTGCTTCAACGTTTGCCTTTATTAATTTAATTTAGGTATCATTTGCCGTTTCCGTGAAGGCAATCAATAACATAAAATAATTAATAATAATTACGACTGCTACCAATGTTAATTATATTTATATGGAATTATAAAAGTAATTACTTTTCCCAATGAGTATACCGTTGTGATGTATCCCAACACGACGATAGTTAGAAAGAACCAGACGGCCTTTCTCGTCCAGAACCTTGAAATGCCGATCTTCTTCCCTTCGATAACGAAATATTGCATACCTGAATTACAATTCGAACAATATTAAATTAACGCCACAGATTTACTACAGGAACCATAATAATAATAACTAACGGTACAGTTTATTCGCAAAGGGATTACTTTCCTTTCAATACAAATATTTCCCTTAATTGTCACTTTTCATCAAATTGAATTAAATGAAGAACAAAAGTTTAGGTATTTAGGGTGCATAGTAGCGTTCTAATGAAAATACTTCAAAATATATTTGGAACGTGTAAAGTTAACCCTTTGAGTGCCAGGGGAAATTTTCATACATATTCGAGAAACACCAGACAATTTTAACCAAAGATACACGATTATAAACTTTACCCTGTCACGATTATCCATTTATCTATATATTTCAGGAAATATTGGAAGATGAAAATGCGTACTGCAGTACAAATTTTTTTGTACCTTTAATCATACCAAAAATAAAATCTAAATAGTTTGAAATAGACTATGCATTTACAGAAAAAACAATTCTTTTCGCATTAGAAACAATATTTCGATTGGTTTTCGTAATGTTTTTAAATGATTCATACTATGGTAATAATAATGATTACGATTGAAAGTTTAAAATTCAGATGAAATATAAATTCTTACATTCCTCTATTGTATGCATTATTACAAGCGTGTCGTTATAAAAATATTGAGTTATAATTCTATATAGGCGATTCATTTTTATCACACTGAACTCACCTAAAACGCAAACAGTTATCATACCCACCGTAACGATGGAAAGCAATGTGAAGATAAGCAAGTCTGACTGCATGTTTCTACGGTTCCTCGGATGGCTGATCCATATTCTTAATGATTCCGGTCTAAGGGTTTGTATAAAAGTGTACTTAGAAGATCAAGAAAATTCAATGATGAACTATTGTATTCAGAACGTGTCTTAAAAAGTTCGAATGTTCTGTTATAAACTCGCGTTTAATAATAAAACAGAACATTTTTTCAGTGAACTTACAATCGGTAACGTGGTGTTTCGACAACGTTGAAGTGATAACGGCACAGTTCGCAATAAGTGCGCGAGGTTTGGTTTAGCCATCTCTCTAAACAGGCGAGGTGCACGTAAGCAAGCGTTCCTTTGCACCTGCGCATAGATCGTTTGAAAAAACAGTTATTTTATACTTATTTTATTTTTATCTTATATTACTAATTTACCAGTTGAACTGTCGCATAATATTAATTTGATGTACATAGCAGTAGGACAATGATAAAATTCAAATGAATTATTAAAATCGAGTCTATGAATTAATAAAGCTATGATAAAACCTTCTGACTACATAGAACTTTATTGAAAATGATTGCACATTAAAATGAAATTACTGTTTAAGATGGAGACAGTGATAAATGAAGTTCCTTTCAATTAATGTGCTTCGGTGTTGATGTTAAGACTTAAAAATGACATTCATCTAAAGGTATACTAACTTCCCATTAATATTGACATTCGCGTATTTATTCTAGATACAATTTACGAGCACTCTCGTTATAATTTTAAAAACTTATCATCACTTTTTAAAGAACAATGTATAAACATAATAACCTGATACTAATAAAACGCAATTCTAATGTTCGTTCTGATTTGATAAAGTACAATGGAACGTGTCGATGAAACTTACCATAGTTTGAAAAAACAGATGAACGCAATGAATGTAACGAGTGTCAAAAATTGACGGACAGAATGAAAACGTGTGAGCTACCATTTCGTGTCTTTTAAATTATTTGACCATGAACGCGGGGAATGTCGAGAACGTTTATCGAGTGACATTTTTCGAGACCGGGATCGCGATGTCGAATACCGGCTGTTCAACGGAGATCAAAGTGCGCACTATGATATTGTCACACCGTCCGTTAAGAGTTTATATTTGACTGCTTTCAACGCTGAACGTTGTTTTCAGTGCGTCTCTCCATCAACAGCCACTCACGGAAATAGTGGACATCCGAGTGTTATATCGTGAGCGTGTGCAGGACGTTCGGCCACAGGTGGCAGAACATTTAAGGGATGACTCTGCGCGGCAAAGTCGGATAAAACCAAAAAAGTGGAATACTGTTATTGAACAGTCATTTCCTCGGTTATTGTTAAGAATACGTACAATTAAGCAATAACCCTCACCGTTCCGTTTGCATTTCTATAGTCAAGGAACACTTAGTTTTTACAACGATAGAGAAAAAGGCCCGGACACGTTAAATAATAATAAAACCCTAACCATTCGACACACCGTAAGAAACAAATTAAGACATTTTCAATACACAAAGGACGGCTTAGCTTATAAATATTTGAAAAATCTGACTCAAATTTCATTTTGTGGAATCGATCGCTTTGGAAAGTGAAATTTCTTTATGAATAGTGTGTAACTATTAGTAGAAGGTGTATGTACTTAACCCTTTGCACTCCAAGCTTTTTTTCCAAAGAGAACAATGAAACAAGGAAACCGAAACCACTCATTTTGAGTGGTACGTAGTTCTAGTGTTAATTACGGTTTCGCAATAATTCTCGATGCACCTATATTAATCCGATTCATTAATTTTATTCAAATAAGATACAGAATTCCCTCACGTCTCAATTTATTTAAATTCATAGTGGCCAATCTCTTCCGGTGGTCGGATTATCCCAAACTTTCCATAGATATTGTACAGAATTGTATATATAGTGTTAAATATAATGTTTCTCCCCGGAACAACTAAATAAGTACAAATTGCTCTGAATGAGCTGCTGATTGAACGGTCGGAGTTCGGCGGCCGAAGCGTCTACCCGAGCAACCCCTTTTTTCGTGCTGCCCTGAAGAGCCCTTTGTAGTATCAGCTTCGCCTCGCGAGGGAAGAAAGATCGAAAAGGAGAAGGAGGAAAAGAATAAAAATAAATTGATTATGAAGGGCGTAAGAACGAAGAGAGTGAGCGAGTGCCGAGGAAGTAAATGAGTTATGGGGGAGGATGGGGATGAGAATAAAAAGTTGAATGGATCAGGTAGGTAAAACAGGGGAATAAAAAGAAACGAGCGACGGTGATAATGAAGATGGAGGTCTTCGAAGAGAAGATAAAGCGTTGGAAAAAAAGAGGCTGGAGGAAAGATAAGAAATAATAGGAGATGTCTTGACGCGTAAAGAGGAGAGAAATGTAATGGTACATTGGTAAACGAACAGTAACAGAAGAGAAAGTAGATTTCTCGTAAGAAGAAAGCAAAATTTGAGGGTAAACTGGTGAGACGATAAGAGAAAAGAAAGATTTGGTGTATTGAAATAATTTGTAGATTAGTAATCTAACGAGCGAGGAAGGAAAGATTGACTCCATTTACAGATAGAAAATATTTCCATTTATGAATACAACGGATACAGTAGAATTATTAATTATTTATAAACAGAAATATTTTCCTTGAACGAATCATTCCGTGAATAGAGTTATTAAATAGAAACTCAGGTTTAGAAATCTGTAGTTTATACATTCACTAGAATGAAGTACGACAAGTGAAAGGAATCATCAGTCGTGTAGCCTTTTACAATGTAAATAGTAAAGTATGCGGCAGAAATGAAGAGGGGAAGACTTCACGCATAAATAAGGGAGGAATACGATGGTAGACTGATGAAAGAAGCACGAAGGACTTTACATATAAAGAAGGGAGAGTACAATGGCAGATTGGTAGATTCGTAAAAAGAGAGAGAAAGGAAATGTCTTGACGTACATAGAAACGAAGGTGCACTGGTAGATTGGTAGACCGATGAACGAAAGGAGAAAGAGAAAGTTCACGCGTAAAGAAGGGAAAATGTAACGGCAGGTTTGTAGACTGATGAGAAGTGGGAAAGAACAGAAGAATTGTAAGGCGTTACAGCTGTGAGTGACCAGAAAATAGTGATAACGGGGTCAGAACGAGGACAAAACTATAAAAGAGATAAGAACAAACATAAAGAGCACGAAACAACAAAGAATAAAAATAAAAGAAACGGAAAGCAAATGAGAAACAATTCTTAAAAGTTATTTCTTAAAAATAGTTCTTTAAAGTAACTCAACCGAACGAAGAATGAAAGATAAAAATTCTAAGCGAGGAGATTGGTGGAATGACGATATAAAGAATTCCCATTTCAACGGGGATAGTCCTTAAGCATTAAAAATGAACGTAAGGGAATTATATAAAGGCGAAGCTGGATGGAACGAAGAACGAGGAGAATAAGATTATAGAGGGGGGTGGATTTTAATGCAAGCCTCGGAGAACAGGAATTAAGGATCGCGGAAGGATAACGAGAGAGACGACAGAGCGGAAATAAACAAGGAGGAAAGGTTAGTGCTTGAAATGCTAGGGCGAAACGTGCGTGGTATTCGGGATGACGTGACGGAGGAGAATATCAGAGGGTAGTTTCCCGTTCACCGGTGGGTAGGGATTCGCTAATCGATTATATCGTAGGGGATTGCGGCCCGCGGCAGGGGACGAGAGGGGTAAAAGTGGGGGATAACATTAATTCGAATTATAATCCGATAGTCGTGAAGACGGGAAGCTGGGCGGTGAATATACGACTGGACAAGGAGCGGAATAGAATGTTACAAAAGGAAAATAGACAACCAGATTAAGGGGGCATAGAGCGAAAGGTTATAAATGTAAGACAAGTGTGAAAGGACCAAGGAAGCGGTTTCCTTTAAGGACTGATTTATCGTAGAATGAATTACCAACTCTTTACGTTCTTGAAACATTTTAACGTTCCCTCTCGACTAGGGAATTGAAAATATAAGAATTCGGAAAGGGACTTTAACGTTATTTGTATGTTAATGTATTAATGTATATTTACTAGGGAATTATATATATATTAAGATGTGGTGTTGAATTTACTTTACCAGATCATATTACGTATCACTGATAATCGGTATTTGAATGAAAAGTTTTGAAATTAAATTGAATATTTTAAATTTTATATTTCAAATACAAAATAATTATAAACGTGTGCGTGATAATCAAAGATTTGAGAAATATTCGTATTAGCATAGTCGGAATACTGAGTGTGAAGGGTTAATGATTATTAAGAAGAAAATAGGGCAAAACACGCTCATTTAAATTCTATCGCGCACCTTCAGGCTATCAACGCTTGTGCGTGCGCGGCTCTTCGTTACATTAACAATTTAACGGCCTTAACGCAAGTGCGATCTGCCTCTCTCGCGATCCGCCATCGTTCCAAGCATGAATTTTACAGTTTGCTGCCGACGCTTCTGACAGAGGCGTTCGTAGAGTAATTAAACCGCACTTATTCAAGGAAACATCGAAGGCGTCGTTTAAACCGTGTAATATTTTATGTCGTAACTTTAATTTTTATCGCAACGAAGAATGTCTCTATGATGCTGAAGACAACTGCTAACAGACTGAAATCACGCATTGTTCTCGAACAAGTATATAGAATAGAAAATAGAAAAAATGTATTAAATTCAAACAAGATTTACATTACAACCCAATAACTGTTGCAATACTAGAGAAAAACTTGTTCGCTAAACGTCACTTGAATAGCTACACATACTACGGACGTGTAAATACGCTCGCAGCGTTTACAGTGCCCGAGTTCACGTATGCGTGGACACGTATATAGCGGCAAAAAGGTTGACAGTGGAATATAAGAACCGTGCAAGAGATTGTAGAAAAACAAGGGCTCGAAGAGAGAAGGTTCAAGAACATTTTCAGAAGAAATGTTCAGTATTCGTGACTTTCTTCATCGATCCGAAAGTTGCAGCAGAGCGCGGAGAGATCGAGGAATTTTTAATGTGAAATTTAAGAAAATGGGATCGGAGTTTGAGCACCTCGATTGTGAAATATCGAAGAACGGATAATGAAACGAGCAAGTCAAAGGGGAAGTAACGAAATCGATAATTGTTAGGGAAGAATCAGGGATGAAGTTGGACAGGGGATTAGTTAAGGGAAGTTTTGTGGTGATTAGAGAAAGGTCTACTTATTTGAGAGATTAATGAATGCAGTGCTGATGCTCGAAGCAGGAATATAAGATGAAAGGAAAGGAGAGAATGTCAGAAGGGATTGTAACTGGAAGTCGAGTAAAATTCGATTTCTGGTAACCCGCATAACCTAGATATGAAATCGGCTAATTAAAAGCGGTGTTTCATTTGTCTCATTAACAGAGCAGATTTAGAAGTATAACCTGAGAATATTTGATTTATTAGGAAAAATCTAGCTAATCTATATACATACGTACCTAAACTATAAACACTACTATATATAAATTAATGTTAACTGACACAAAACTTACAAGGCATTTACGTGCTATATATTCTCAATAATAGACTTAAAAAAAATATATAATTTACTTGAATCAATTATTCAGTACTATTCAGAATCGTAGTATTTACTACTAATAATAACACGTATCAGTTTGTTATAAGATAATAACGATAACCAATGAGTAATTAGTTTCCTCGTTATTTACATCTATCGGACGACGCAGGCGGATCAAAATGAAAAAAATTCACAATTGAAATACGCGTGCAATATTTCGTCTCCCGATAAACACAGCCAGCACAATTAATCTCCGGAAATTTAAGAACCCCAGCCATTATCGCGACGGCGAGCGAACGAATAAAATCTCCTTGAACCACTTGGTCACCAGGTCATACAGTTCCCCGCGATTCAAGTCCGCATCTCGCGTGGCCTTGTTCATCGAAAACCTTATCCTCCGTACGCTGCGACCTCCTCAATATAAATGTCTTTAAATGCACAATCGAGTCGCCGGTGGCGGTACAGAGAACCGCGGAAAGCGTGACGAATCTATAAAAACCGCGTGGCAGGGAAACGGGGTCACGCATATCATTCGCCGGGAATTCTCACGAGGACCTCGAGTATTAAGTCGCTCGCGGAAAGGACACGGACAGAAGAGGAAAGGCGAAAGAGCGGGGACAACGAGATAGACGGCGGGGGAATAGAGGAGCAAAGCGAATGAACGACGACAGGGGCGGGGGTGGAGTGGAAAGAGAAGCTCACGGTGAAAGAAAAATTACATGAAAAGGAGCGGGAAACAGAAAGCGGGGAAATAAAGGCTTTAGCCGGCGACACGCCTCCGAGCTTTTTATTCGCGTATTGAAAAGACCGCGGGCGCGCGCCTCTTTCGGCTTCGGGGGGTGGTCGCGGGTTAAAATTAAAACCGTGAAGTAACGTAACGAACTCTTGATTCGATTAAGGATGCCCGTTGCGAAGTTGTAAACACGCCCGGCGGAACTAATTGTAAGACAACGGTTCAAACTGAGGAACGTTTGTTTCCGTCGCTGGTGCCGGCGTAGCGGGAGAATGGCGCTGGCACTTAACAGGGCGCATCGGATTCGAGAAGTTCGCCGAGACGAGAGATTTTTTTTCGGTGAAATCTGTATGTAAACACGAAGAAGTTGAGGAACATTCACTGATCGATACCAGTGCAAGAATTTGAATGCCTTCGAACTATGGAAAGTGTAAATGTAGTGAGAAATAGGGATTTGAGAAAGTGGCTCTTAATATGGAATACTTAGGTAATTTGTAAAGGAAACTTATCTTTATCGCGAGAAATGAATATTTATGGAATTGAAAAGGATGAACGAACGAATTTTCCGTGTTTTTGAACTTGTATTGTGCTAATTGTTTCCTTTTTGTTCTTTTGTGCATTGGATATGTGAATAATACATCGAAATCGCTACATCTACATCAAGATTGCGAGTATAAACACGAGAAATTTATAATAAGATGTCGCGATATTTTTATTTAGTTTCCAAGGACTTTCTGTAATCCTTTCAGTGGAAAACATGGTCACTGTGCGTTGTTGTAGCATTAATAGGAATTGACGAAACTTACAGTTACATATCGTTACACTTAATAGAGATTAATACCGTGTTTCGAATGCACGATTCAATGTACGGGCAAACACTATTTGTCCTGATTAGTTTATTACGATGAAAATGCGTATTACAGAAGTGTAAATACTCATTCATCGACGAATCTGAGCATTCGATACCGGTGTGTTCGATAAATTATAGATTATTGCTTAACAAGGATTCATTTCATTGATACAGAGCCATTATTGATCTAAGCAGAAACATGATCATTTTGTAGTACTCCATTGTAAAGACCTTTGAATAATGTGGAATCTGATATTATTTGTATGTAATACTTCATTCATTCAGCTAGATGAACGTACAATAATAATAATTTTTCCATTTTATTCGCGTTTCGTTCCATTTTATTCAACGTGTTAAAACAGCAAGGTAAGCTTCGAAATTCAAATGTGTCTATTATTATTAGTTTCTAAAGTGTCCAAATTTAGTATTTAATGCACTTCAGATTATTATATGTTACTGCGTTTATTTATATAATTCACTTTGAAATCCTTAAAGACTCGTACAAAAACAGTCCGGGTAAATCGAGAGCCAGGTGTATTGTCATTATTACTAATTTTTTATTTCTTAAAAATAAAAGTAATTCGTGCAATACGTAAACACCGACGAGGGTCGTCGACACGACGATACATTTACCTACAAGGTGAAATGAGTGGCTCCTTGGACGTATTCGTGTGACATATTCGGCAGACGCTAGAACCAACCGAGACCAGACTGCGGGTAAGCTGCTGTTGTTGCCCGACCCCGGGAGACATTTGCTGCGTGTCGCAGTCATTTAAATTGCACGACGAACCCTCGGGAACTGTGACCGGTAACACCGGCACGGTGCGCTCGTGATCCAAGTTAACTGGAATCGAAGAGAAGGATACACACAAGGTGGTGCATATGTATGATTCGCTGGCCGCTCCACGCATCCACGTTTACTTACACATCACATCATTGTGCAACGTTTTCGCGTGAAATTCAGTACTCCATTTCAGCTAGTTGACTTTATCATAAAATTTCGTTAAAAATCTATCGTTTTATAATATTGAGATTCGCGATTTTATACTAAGTTCAACGAACCTGAATTTTGATTAAGCTTCTTGTTCGAGGCGATAGGGATAAGCAATGAAAGTAGAATTTCTTTTTTCTCGGTAAATTGGAGTACACGGTGAGTTTCATGCATTTAAAATATTTTTAAAAACAGAAAGAACAAAACGCTACGTGTTTATTTAGTTCGTTTATATTAATGTCTACGTAATATTAAAGTTAATCAAGTAGCTTATAGAAAGAAACGAATTTTCATTCTTTTTATTCGTATTATTTGTATTTTCGAAGTGTAACATTTCCCGTATCGAGAACGTTACTCGGTAATTTTATTGTTAAGCTTGATCGTTGTCTTTTATTTTGAAATGGAGTTTTCAGATTAAAATTTCGAATATTTTAGGCATACCTATGGTCGAATTTTGAGAATTTATCCCCAATGTGTTTATGTTTGCGGAGACGTTTATGGTATATTCTGAATCAAACAGCCATAAACAATATTGAAGATCATAAACAAAGATCCGATACTGCTTACGGCACAGTAAATCAGACTCTGTTTCTCTCTTTCTCTCGCAGTGCATAATTCTCGTGCATTTAAACGGACCATTTGATATGTAAATTCCTTCCCCGATAAAACATTATTCAATTTAGAGGAATTATATTTTAATTGAGCTGAAACAATAATGTCTTATTAATCTCAAGCGGCAGATAAATTTTCCTGAACCTACCGTGTAAAAGAATTTTCAGACGCCGGAGTAAATTAAATTCACAAGAAAAAGTTTACACAAAAGAACGGTCGTCGGAGTGTTAATAATTAATTTCATCGTGTACTTTGACGCTATTCGTCTGCAATAAGCTTCAGATAGTCAGGGAACGATACAGACCGAAAATAACGGTTGCCAATGATATAAGGTAACAACAGAATACCGGCGCATATGTATGATCCACCACGTTCCGCACGCATCTGCGTGTATTTACAGCCTATTAAGCGTAATGGCGGGCTTTGTGGGAATTTACTCCGCGGAATTAATCAATGCGAAATCTGAGACGGTCTCTTGAATTACAAGTATTCCGGCATGATATGAATTTCGTCTGTCAAGTTCCGCGATCATTCCAACTTTTATGAAATTTTTATGGACGGCATCGGGGAACTTCTCTTTCGCGGCGAACGGGGAACGTTTCTTTATCCTCGCGCCATAAAGAGACTGCCGTATCTTGCGCGGACAATATTTAAGTCGTTCGCAGATCAACGTGATTAAGTGTACTTCCCGAATTTTCCTCGAATTTTACAACTGAAACACTTAATTAATTTCTCACGCGAGCGGCTCCGCCGAATTCTTCCGTTTCTCATTTTACAGAGTTCGTCTTGACGAATGAGCAGCCTCTCGTATAACGCGGACGTTCATGGGAACTCACTTTTGACGGCACTTAAACTCTCATAATAGAAATTTCCTTTTGATCCGCGGCATGCGGAATTTTATGCACTTATAAACATTTAAATAGACATTTTAATATATTTCGAGAGTGCTTCACTTTACATTCTACCTATTAAAAGCATTCACACAGAAATTCAATTACAGCCAATATCGGACCCTTCAAACGTCTCTATAAAAATGTATTTATGCATAAAATTCCGTAGTCTTCCGATCAAGCTCGCAGAAGTTATTATATTGTTAATAATTTGCCGGCAGGGAACGAAATTATAGATTCATTGACGGAGAAAAATTTAGCGCGAAGGTAAATATTCATAAGCTGAGAATAGTATTTTCCTTTAATGGATTTCAACTGAATGCTAATCATATTTATTGAACTTAATGTAAAGCTTAAAAATGTAGCTCGATATTAGGAGAGAAAAATTGTTAAAAATTATATAAAACTAATCACTTAAAAGATTATTGGACATTAGTAACATGCTTATTTTATTGTAGTTCACTCAATTGTGTTCGTTATAATTAAATTCAGAACCTAATTACGGTTTACATCTGTCTCTTTAATTTTAATAATTCGTTATAGGTGTATATAAATCATTTATTTAATTATAACTTTCATTTATTCACACCGAGTAGTAAGGATAGTTATAATTGTATTTGTTTGTCACATTTTATATAATTTGTACCTATTTTTGTCGGATTTTATATGAAAGAAATTAAGGTACCTGGTTGCATTCTTGACGTGAAAGATGCTCAGCGACAAGATCATAACCAAATAATTCAACAGCTTCTTCAGATCTGTGGTCAAGGAAGTCCTCGATAGAAAGTCGATGCAATAATTTGTACAAGTTCTGTTCCTTATTCAATGCCGATCTTTCCGTATGCAAACGAAGCGGAGAAGAAGGAGAACTCAACGGGAGAAAGAAAACAATGCTCGACAACCGACGAAGAACTGACCTGTCAGTTCATCTTTAGCAAACACGCGGTCTGTTCATTTCGTTGGCCGACGATTTTCTTATTTTCATATCGACGACAAACGACTAACGTTCGATTAAACATGAGAAGTGGAAAACTACAGTAACCGAGAGGGCTCTAAGGGATTTACTTGAAACTTTTTAATGCAAATGCAGAACAGTCTGAAATAGACAATTCAGGAAGGGTAAATGAAAATTCGATTCTATTATCAGATTCTCTAATTTCTCTTATACATTATCTCTTATATGTATATATATGTGTGAGTGTGTGGGTTTTTATTATTACATATTAACCTTGAGAATACTTTTTTAACGTATGTATGTATCATTAAAAAATGTATCACTACTTAAAAGTGCACTATGTCAATTCCAAATCGTATTCAGATTTCGAAATCATTTATTTTATACATCGTTCATTGTAAATAATCGAATTCGACAAAAGTTCCGAATGCAGTTAATGTTACATAAGCTTTATTTTCTGTACAGGAATATAATATATTTCATTCAGAATTATTTTTAATTGGTAGAAACAACAAAACTGACGGAATGGAGAAATTTTTAAAAACTGATTTTCACCACTGCATATATTCTGTACTAGAAACGCGGCAATAAATTACAGTTTTATTCCATTGAAATGTAGTTACGTAAATTAAGTACTTTGCAGCATACACGTATCGTGTGTCATTAAATTGCCGTTATGTTATTGAATTTCCGAAGGTATTCACTTCGTTCGATGTTTGTATTTCGGATATATGGAGTAGCACTTTTCTGCTTGACGTAAACAGCTTATTGTGAATTATTAACTGCGGCCCACAATTTATAATCTGCAATGCAACAAACTTTGCAACTTCGGAGCTATTCAATTGCTCCGTAGCATTAAATTTCTGTTGATTGTTCAATGTTGAAAGAGCAGCGCGTTTCCATATATAACGCGATGAAAAGATTTTGATGAAATGGGGATTTTAAATCCCTTTACACGTGTCTAGTTTAAACGACGTTACACCGCTCTTCGACATACGAGCTGTAAAATTAATATATGATCGAGTGCATTTGTTACACGACGAAACTTCTGAGAAGAATAATGTGTTCTGAAACAAAATTATGTTCCCCTTCATTTCGTTTATGCGAAGAATTTATTTAATTGAATATGGAGGTTTCACAACAAACCCTCTTACTGTCATTAAGAAGAGTTAGGGCGAGTTTCTCTTTATTAAATTAAAGATTAATAAATTATATTCTGACATTTTCTAATGCAGTTATTCTCATTCATTTACGTAATAATTTATACAACTTGTATGAGAACAGTTATAACGAATAAACTAGGTAAATTACCCCTTGAATCATCGGAGACCATTTGAAATTGGGGTATTTTCAAAAATCTGGAAAATCTTATTTAAAGATTGATGTAAATGTTCTAATACATTTTTATTTGAACGCCTCAAGGAGAAAGTATTTACATAAATACATTTTTTGAAAATCGAATTTGTACTCACATGGATACAGCTTCTCAAGAATTTTATTAAACGTCAAATGAATCGAAACACTGAGTAAGCCATGTCAAACTATTAACTGTACTGAATTAAAGAAAAATCGTGCATGGTTTCAGTTAATAAAATTCAGTCTGTCGACGATCAATCACACGTCGTCCAGATTAAAAGATTTAAAAATGTCCGCAATGACATTCATCCGGTTTCAATTTATAATGCGGAAGGTGCGAGGGGAAAACGAATCGATATTTGTTTCACCGCGACGGTGAAAAGCATGGAAAAATGGTATCTTGAGACGTTGGCCCCGGTCGTTGGATTATGAAGATTAATTAACTGCAGAAACCGTGCTATGTCTACGTCGGTAAATTAAATCTTCCAAGTCAGCCGGCCACCTGATTTATGGCACTACCGTATCGAAACTTTTTCCTGGGGAATGCTCGGATTTGCATTGCATTAAATTATGAAGTCTATCTTAGATCGCTTATAAGCGATCGGAGATTACCCTCCTGCGAGGAGATTTTCGAACTCGTTGAAGTTTTCAAGCATTACGACTGATAATCGCCAAATCCGTGGATGCGATTAATAAACATGTACGGAATTTCAGTTTAACGCTAAACATACCGCAACTGGTCGAATGATTGTCAAATTTGATAATTTTGCATAGTACTATTTTCCAATATTACCAAAAAACCTGCACACAACTTCGACAAAAATTACTTTACCACCATTCGTCATCCAATTCACTCAAAGTAAAAACCCATCAAAATTCTGTCAAAACAGCCGGTACTCATTACCAACATAATTATTAATAAATTCCTATAAATTTGACGATAGTACCATTTCCGAACATTTTCAAAGAACCCACCAAAACACATCGACAACTTCGTTAAAAATTATTATATCCCACCTTCCTTCGTCCAATTCGCTTAA